CTCGTTATTCAGGGGACAATGCCTATGTCGGTGTGTCGCTCTGTATTTATATAATTCACAGGGCTGTCAAAAATCCTGATGATCTGGAAGCAAGGTCTAGTATGCACTTGGCAAGTGCTTTCGCTGGCATCGGCTTTGGAAATGCTGGTGTTCATCTGTGGTAAGTGAACACGCAATTTATTTTCTTAACTCAAGGTACTGCTCCTAAATTTTAATATATATAACTCAGGACATGTGGCAAATTTTAACTATGCTATACAAGGGAGAAACCTAAGGTTTCCCAAATATTTGAATTCACCTTATTAAGTCACGGATTTTCTTACAACAGCTTTAAAGATGCTGTCCATATACTATACAGTCTGCTCATTTGAAACATAGATAATTCAGTGGTTTTTAGTCTATGCACAAAGTCCTGCAACCTTTAGTTTTACAACGTTTTATTGCCCCCATAAAAAAATCCTCAGCTACTGCTTACCAATACCCACACTTCCCTCACTGCTTAGAGATTACTGAGCAACTTTCCATCTCTGTGAAATTCCCCATTTGGAGCATGTCACAGACATGAATACACGTGCTCCTCTGTATCTACCATGCTTTATTTAGACACTACTAGAACCTACTTCACTTCTTTTTACCCCCAAATAATATTCTATTATATGGAGATGCCACTTCTTTTTTTCTTTTTCTTTTTTTTTTTTTCTGAGACAGAGTTTCTCTGTGTAGCCCTGGCTGGCCTGGAATTCACTCTGTAGACCAGGCTGGCCTCAAACTCACAGAGATCTGCCTGCCTCTGCCTCCTGACTGCTGGGATTAAACGAGTGCACCACCATTGTCTGGCTGAGATACCACATTTTATTTGACTTGTTATCAGTTGGTGGACATTTGTTGCTATAAGTAATATTCTGTACAAGTTTTCATGCACATTTTTGTTTCTCTTACTTGATACAAGTGAATGGACTTCCTGATCTATAGCAATGCTGTATGAGAACACTGAGGATTAAGTAGGGCTCTGCTAGTGTGTGATGCAGTGGTGAGCATCAATCTCTGAAGCATAGGAGCATGATTTATTATACCCAAAGCAAGGATATGAAATGTACTCCAGCCTGAAAATGTTTATCTCCCTTGGCCCACTGTTTCACTCTTAGCAATCTAGGCTAAATAGATATCCATGATATGTGCAATGGATTTCCTTATAAAGAAGTTCTCCTAAGTGTAGTTTATGATTGAAAAATCTGGATGCACATTTGATTTCCAGTAGTTAATACTTAACTAAAGTATAGTACTTAGTAGAGTACTATAAAGTCATTAAGAATAGTATTTAGCTGGGCGTTGGTGGTGCACGCCTTTAATCCCAGCACTCGGGAGGCAGAGGCAGGTGGATCGCTGTGAGTTCGCGGCCAGCCTGGTCTACAGAGTGAGGTCCAAGACAACCTCCAAAGCAATACAGAGAAACCCTGTCTCGAAAACAAACAAACAAAAAGAATAGCATTTAAAGCAGATTTATTAAGGAAAATGTTGTAGACGCTATTACGTAACACCAGGCACAGGGGTCATACCTGTGATCCTAGTGGGATCAGTAGCTACCCTTCCAGATGACCCAGGTTCAATTCTCAGTACCAGCTACCCTTCCAGATGACCCAGGTTCAATTCTCAGTACCCATGTGGCAGTTTACTGCCTTCTATAACTCCACTTCCAGATGATCAAATCCTCTCTTCTTGCCTCCATGGGCACGGCAGACATGGGGTACATAGACATACATGCAGGCAAAACACACAAAATAAAAACGAAAGGAAGAAGAAAAATCTGGAAACTGAATGTCCAATGTGATCATAAATTAAATATATTCATAAAATGGCTAGAAGGAAAGATAATGTGCATAATTTTTATTTTGTACAAAAAATATAGACAACTATTAAAAACAATTGGAATTTTAAATATTGCTATAAGTTGCCTTTGAAAGTTCCATGAACCCTAGCACTTCTTGAAAGCACTCTAAGCAGTAACTTTCTGATGCCAAGAGTGTCAAGTGCATTTTCAATTATCCAGTCACTGAGAGAAGCTGGAGCTCCCCATTTATTTCATGTAAGATGTCTGGGAACTTTGGATAAGTATTCTTTTTTTTTTTTTTAAAGATTTATTTATTTATTACATATACACTGTTCTACTTACATGCCAGAAGAGGGCACCAGATTGAATTGTAGATGGTTGTGAGCCATCATGTGGTTGCTGGGACCTCTGGAAGAGCAGTCAGTGTTCTTAACCTCTGAGCCATCTTTCCAGCCTGGAATAAGTATTCTTGTAATTCATCAAAATACTTCCTTTTATGAAATCTTTTGCTGAATAAGCATGCAATCTTCCAATAGCCTATACTGAAAGAATAAGACCCTTTTGCTCTTGAGGGGCATTTTATTTTTACAATATTAATTGTGAATATTACATATTACATAGTAACCTGTTACAATATTTATATTCCAAACCATCTATTAAGCTATAATATTTTCCTATTCATTCACTAAAATAATATAAAGTTTCTATTTTCTGGCAAAAGCAAAACCCACTGTGGGCTGGAGAATGAGTTTGGATCCCAGCACGCACATAAAAATCTAAAGCTGGGCATGGCCACAACTACCCATAACCCTGGCGCTGTGGGATTCAAAGTCTCTGGGACTTGATGCTGCCGGCCTAGCTGTAAGTTGAAAGCCCTGTCTCGAGGGAATAAAGAAAAGAAAGGATAATAGAACAGAAGACCTAGAACCCGCTTCTGCCCTGTGCTTGCACACCAATTTGCAAAGATAAAATGCAGGCAATAAAAGTCAATTAAATAGAACTGGTTAGCCCAGCTTCGTAGGCTAGGCTAGTCCTTTATAATTCAGCACCATTAATAAACAACATTTGAAACATACATAAAGCGCTTCAGTTGTTGTCTGGGGCTAAAATGGGAGGGAGTCTACCTGCAATGAGACACTAGGTAACTTTCTAAGAGGAATGCATGATAGCTTACTGATGCATTGAACATATGAATATATGCATATGAACACATACATATATTTTTCATCAATCTAAGATATTTAAGTGCATTAAATTATTTTGTATAAATCATAAAAAATAAACACCATTTGAAACAGCCTGTCAATTACTTGCAGAATGGGTCACTAGTGGGTCCCACTTGCATATTGTCCAATGCATGCAACTCTCTGATCACTGGAGCCTGACCATTTCAGAGGTTTTTGTTAATGAATACACTAAACTTGGAGTGCATCACAGTACATCTCTGCACCCAAGAAATACATCATGTAGAACTCCGTGAGTTAACAATACAGTCCAGAGACAAGTGGGGCACTCCCATAACAGTGTCCAAGTTATTGATTTCTGGCAACTGTGTGTCAACAGATTTTTTTTTCTCTTCCAGCCATGGCATGTCTTACCCAATTTCAGGTTTAGTGAAGACATATAAAGCCAAGGAATACAATGTGGATCACCCTCTGGTGGTAAAAATATTTAATAATAAATTACTCAGCTAAATCTTACAATTGTCACCATTTCTCTATGTGTATTTTTAGTGGGGGTGGGGCTGGGGGTGGAACTCAGGACCTTATGCATACTGTCAAGAACTGTGCCACTAAGCTGCACCCCAGACCATGCTTCGACTGTTCTGCATACTCTATCTAGATTATTAAGGAAGAAACCTTTTCTGTCCATCTCTTCCCAGCCCCATGGCCTCTCTGTGGTGCTCACATCTCCAGCAGTGTTCACTTTCACAGCCCAGATGTTTCCAGAGCGGCACCTGGAGACAGCAGAAATATTAGGTATGAACCGTTACTCACAATCCTGTGGCTCTCCAAGGTGAAGTGTTGTAGATGGTGTGTTCTTTGAGACACCAAAGTCACAGAGACTTATTGATTATGAATGCTCCGCCTTAGCTTAGGCTTGTCCCACTAGCTCTTTTAACTTGCTTTTACTTATTTCTATTCATCTAGGTTTTGCCTTGGGGCTTTTTACCTTTCTTTTATTCTGTATGTCCTACTTTTCCTGCTTCCTACATGGCTGGCTGGCTGGCTGGCCCCTGGCATCTCCCTGGCATCCCCTTTTCTTTTTTCTTAAAGCCTAAATTCCTCTTTCTTCTTACTCACCCTTCCCAGAAGTTCTGCCTATACCTCCTCCCTCACTACTGTCCATTCAGCTTTTTATTAGGCCAATCAGGTACCTTAGGCAGGCAAGGTAAAAACACCAATGCATCTTTACATAATTAAACAAATGCAATATATCTTTACACAGTTAAATATTCTCCAACAGAGTGTTTCCCAGGAACAATAACAAAAGCTGTCTCTTTGAAGTAGCTCAGTGATAAAATGTTAACAACTTGCCTGAAGCCCTGGGCAGCAGGCATTAAATACCATAATTTTAGGCTTCTAAGCATCTGTCATGAAATGGAACCTAATATACTGATTCTATTGTGTCCTGATGCTATTTGCTCTGCTTTTGCCTCTAAAGAAAGTATTGTTGGCACACAAGTAATACTGAGTTGCTGATAAAATAAGTCAAGAAAGCAGCAGTAACCCCCAATCACAGAGAAGCTAAACAAGGAACAAAAGCCATTCCAAATGAGAAACCTATTTGCCATACTGTGGAGTAAGTAACCTCTCTAATGAGATGTCCACTGTGCCTTTTGATTCTTACAGAAATGAAATTTTATTCTGGATAGCCGTAGTAGGAGATTAAAAAAAAAAAAACAGTATTTTTCTGAAACAAGAACTCTTTTTTTAGTGACTTGGAGAACTTGATATACTTGTAGAATGCCTTAGTCCCCTACTTGTGTTTAGGGTGGGTGGGAAGAGAAAGGCTGTAATGAAAACTCCATTCTTCATTATGTCCTTGTAGCTTGAGCCGTTGGAAAGATTATTCCCAAGGAGGCAGGAGTGACCGCAGACATCCTCCCACAAGGCTACTGCCTGGCCCTCCCTCTTACACCAGCCCTTTGTGTGCCCCACAGCTCCAGGTGCTGTGCTGGGAATGTTAATGTCAGAAACCCAGGACTTCGAGCCAAACCCAGGCTTCAGTTTGCAGTGTGTACTGTGTGAGCACACTGGCAGATTTACCGGGGTCTGTATCCCGTTTCCCTTTAGGGAGGGGAATGTGCTGGGATATAGCTGTAGCCTTTGTAAGTAC